GCATAAAGAAAAACTTACTATTAGAAAAGCTGATTTAAATTTTGTCTCTTACAGAATGCGAACTTTATTACATATTGAATCTTCCGATAGTATTGAATTCGAAAGAGATGGTATATCACAAAAATGCGCAGGAACGCCGGACGTTTCCAACAATGATGTTAAAGATACTGAAACTTCTAGCGAAGATATAACGGTAAAAGAAATACAATTTATGTACATACAAATGGAATTCTGTGAGAAAAGCACATTAAGAACTGCCATAGATAATGGTTTGTATGAAGATGAAGAACGTTTTTGGAGGCTCTTTCGAGAAATTGTAGAAGGTCTGGCGCATATTCACCAGCAGGGTATGATACATAGAGATTTGAAACCTGTGAACATCTTCCTCGATAGTAATGATCACGTCAAGATAGGAGATTTCGGATTGGCCACGACTAATATACTGTCGTCATTAGTTCAGACCATTGATGCTGATAAAGAATCACAATTTGAGAAAGGTACAGATATAGACGAATTTTTGAATTCATCGATTGATCAATTGCATTATGCGCAAATACAACTTTGCTCTGAAAAAGATACATTTATGTATAATGCGATTGATCAATAAATTATATAGTTACATGCGCCTTATATAGTTACATGTGATGTATTGATGACAAATATGTATTGTATTATCGGTCATACCCTTTCAAGGTGGAAGTTATGATATAGAAGAATTAGGATCTCTTACTGGTCAAGTTGGGACAGCTTTATATGTAGCTCCCGAACTTTCTGCAAAAACTGCCAAAGCAATTTACAATCAAAAAGTGGATATCTACAGTTTGGGAATTATTTTCTTCGAAATGACGTACAAACCGCTGGCTACTGGAATGGAACGTGTCAAGGTCCTGTTGAATTTACGCTCGAAAGAAATCGTCTTTCCCCCTGATATACCAGAAACAGATGTACCACCTCAAATTCATATCATACGGTAAAAAAAATTGATTTGACAATGCATATTATATCAATAATATAATTTTTAGACCGCGTATGTGAGAGACAATCGATAAATAAGAGCCCTATACGGTTGAAGTTAGATCTTAAAATGCTTTAAATAATTCAATCTTGAATCACTAAATATGATATATATGTACTTGATATATATACCACAAAGTAGTCTAACTGTGCATCGAAATATTTCCGGATTAAACCACTATAGTAAATTTCGCGAATTAAATTAAATTCTAATAATTTCGATGCTCAATCAGGCATCATATTTCAAAGATATTAATATGCTGAAAAACTGTAATTAAACTTATTGCGAAAAATATTACCTCGGCCGGGAATCGAACCCGGATCTCTTGTATTCCGTACGAGCGTCCTGAGCCATTAGACCATCGAGGCTCGGTGTTTAATTACAGTTTTTCAGCATATTAATATCTTTGAAATATGATGCCTGATTGAGCATCGAAATTATTAGAATTTAATTTAATTCGCGAAATTTACTATAGTGGTTTAATCCGGAAATATTTCGATGCACAGTTAGACTACTTTGTGGTATATATATCAAGTACATATATATCATATTTAATGATTCAAGATTGAATTATTTAAAGCATTTTTTAAGATCTAGCTTCGACCGTATAGGGCTCTTATTTATCGGCATGTTATATCATTCTCTAAGATATATAAAATACGAAATAATGATTAAACTCTTTATCCATATTAGTTGGCTGTTGAATCACGATCCAAGTCAACGTCCTACCGCTCAGGAATTACTTTCTTCTGCATTTTTGCCGCCGCCGTTAGAAGATACGGAATTGCAAGAAGTAATGCGCCATACGTTATCCAATAGTCAAAGTAAAGCATATAGATATTTAGTGACGTCGTGCTTCACGCAAGACGTTACGCCGGCAGAAGATATTACTTATGATATGAATTTGCCTGCTAGGGAAACACCAAGTGTTCTTTCCTTAAAAAGGCAGTTTCTGCAGGAAAGCGTGAAACAAAAAATCATTGAGATATTTCAAAAGCACGGCGGAATATACCTCGCGACCCCGTTGTTAATGCCTAAATCCATTCAGCATTCTAACTTCACCGAATCTAGCGTAAAATTGATGACTCGTACTGGCAGTATAGTCTCTATACCTCACGATCTTCGTACTCCTTTTGCTCGATACGTTGTATGGAATAATATTTCGCATATTCGAAGATACGCTATCGAACGTGTTTTCAGAGATAAAAAGGTATATACTGTCTAGATGACTTGTTAAATAATTTCCAAGCAAGATTCATATTTTTTAATATACTAAGAAAGAAATAAGGGGAAATATCCTGTTTATTCTTATCGATCTAATTTCCACTTATAATTGTTCACATTTTAACTTAAAAATCTACGTTATCATCATACGCGAAATAAATTATTGTATATTTACAAATGTGAAAGTAACGAAACAAATAATATTTTGCATGTATGATTGCAAATTAATATCTGTTAATATCGAATTATCATAGGCACGAGGATTTCATCCAAGGGAATTATACGAATGTGCTTTTGATATCATCAGTCCTGTAAATAACAATTTAATGCCAGAGGCTGAATTAATCTTTATCATATGGGAGATCTTCAATGAGTTACCACAGATCCGAGAACATAATTTCATAGTGCGCCTGAATCATACGTCGCTACTGAAAGCTGTGCTAATGTATTGTGACGTAGAGAAAGACAAGTATCAGGATATATATTCCATACTGCAGGATGCCCGCGACGGAAAGTTAACTAAATTTCAGGTCCAAACGCATTTGATAAGTTTATGTTTAACCGATCAAGCTATGGAAACGCTTTTTAATTTGCTTGAAACAGAAAGTTCCGTTGCGAAAATCACTAATGTCTTAAGGAAAATAACGAAAAGAAAAGGAGAAGCTGCTCGTTTAGCTAAAGAAGGCATAAATGATATAGAGACTGTAACATCTAATGTAGAAAGTTTGGGTGTTAAGGTAATATTATAATATGTCTTTATATAATTTGTGTAAGTTGTTCACATAAGCATTTGAAAAATTTTTTTTCTATCATATTTCAGTGGCCTATTACTGTCGTACCTTTATTAACGTACAATGTACAACAATATAGTGGTGTGATATATCAAATAACTTGTGAACTAAAGCATAGACGGAGACGATGTGGTCAAGACATCATAGCTGCGGGCGGTCGATATGATAAAATGCTAGTGTCATTTAGAAAAGTTTTAGAGCGCACCGGAATGGCCAGTAAGGAAATAAAACAATACGGTGCTGGTATTAGTATATCGTTAGATAAATTGGTGTCCGCTGGTTTTGAGGAGTGTGAGGGTAGTGAAAGTAAATATGGTATTGACGTGGCTATATGCTGCGAGGGAAATTCAGAAAACGAAGGAAGAGGAGAAAAGGACATGATTAATGTATTACGGGAAATCTGGTCATTAGGATTGAAGGTTACAACGTTAGATCTATGCACTATGGAGGAAATATTAGAATACTGCCAAGAAAATTCTATAAGTCATATAGTATTATTAAGAAATAGTACTTTAAGAGTGCTAACATGGGAAAGAGACCGATTTCAAGAGAAAAAGTGGAACACTATACAGGATATTGTTGAATATTTACAACGACAGTCCGAAAACGCGTTGCCAATCTTGAGTAGGTCTGAAAGTAAAATGAGCGCGAATGATATATCAGTAGTGCCTAGCAATCCGGTTAGTGTTAACGTATGTTTCATTCTCTCTGAGCGAGATAAACTGTCCGCGAGTGCCAAAAGAAATTTAAAAAATACCATATTAGCACAAATGTCCTCTTATTTGCAAAGAATATCACATAAAGTTCCTGTAGAAATCTTTGCAGTCTTTTTGGAAATATCCGTTATAAGAACGCTGATCAGTTTTCTGGAGATCGACGAAGAGGAACAAACTTTTCAAAAAAGTATTCAGATTGTAATAGATAAGTGAGTATCACAAATTACATATTAAATTTAACATATTATATTATATGTTAAATTTAATATATTTAATATATTATGTTATATGTATATTATATAAAATAATGAACAAATTTTATTAATGTCGATAATATTGATTATGTCATTTTTATAGACATCCACGGCATAAGAAATATATAAAAAAAATCTGCGAGGATATGAGGAAATTACGGAATGAAAAGTCCAAGCCTATAGAGATACTTTACAGTTTGATAGACAGTAAACACATGACTTTAATATAAGATATTGTCGAAGCCGAAAAATATATTTTCATAATAATTATGTGAAATTAATAATGATGAGTGATTGAAATGTACGTTAATAGATGATCAAACATAAGAAATATTAGACATTTAAGCATTTTTTGTACTACATTATATATATTTTTAAACATCAACATTTAATAAAAAAAAATAAGTGTATATATGACATGACGCTCCAAAATGAACTTCTGGATTCGATATAAAACCAATGCAAATTAAGCGTGTTTATTATTACAACATTAAATATTTTGTTGTATATATTTTCTTCAATATATTTTCTTCAATTGTTTCAACCCTTACTGCAAGATTTAATATTCAAAAGATGTGTATGTGTGTGTGTTGTGCGCACGCACGCGTATTTCGTACACAACGGGAATTATTTTTTCTAAAATCTAAAAAATGTACTTTTTGTATATAAAAATAAGTTATAAGATTATAAACTCATGACAGGAGAAGATAATCTTTTCTAAATTTTACCCACTTGATTTGTATGAATATAATTACATATAACGCAATTATATCGCAGCCGTGTTGTTTTATCAATGTATTACATTTAGGGCTATAGGGCTATGTTCCAAATTTACTGCCAGCACAGAAAATGCTACAATTCACGTGAGCTATAGATTCAGTACTGGCAGTCAATTTTGATATATACCTTTTATTTTATCATTGGCTGTGTGCCAAAATTTACTGCCAGTATTAAAAATCTATAGTTTACGTCACGTGCACTTGCGCGCACTGTAGATTCTTAGTATTGGGAGTAAATTTTGGAACACAGCCAATGTTCAATTTCACGATATCATTTGTTTTAGTTTATTGTTTCATAGAATGTCGAATGTCAATCACGGAGAAATAAATTTTGAAAGTTGAATGATATTGACGACGTGCAATACGTGAACAATAGGAGACGAAAGCTGATGGTCTGAAGGATTACTGGTCATAATTTATAGTGGTATAAAATTCGATAGCATTTTTTAATATAAATTTCAATTTCATATTATCTATGATGGTCTTTTTCAATTTTGTTTCTTCCTAAAATAGCACACATTCTCGTTGAAATCAATTATCTGCGGTGCAACCCTCTTCGAATCAATACGACTTTGAAACGATATATATGACTACGACTGCTATATGCGGGGACCTTAGAGACTAGCGTGTTCGCTGGTGTAGCTATTCTAACTTTAGAAACGGCCTGTCCAAGTGTATCCACCACTAAATTAATCTCAAAACTTGACCTAAAATTAATACGGTGTAACGAACTTAAATGTGGAACTACTTCTAAATGGCAATGCTGCTTTAACGCATTTTTATGTGACAATTGTGGTACATTTACAATAGAATAAGAATCTAGCATGCATTCTATACAGTTGCTGTCAGGATATGATATGCCTACAGTGGGACTGGGAACGTGGCAGGTGACAAAATAATATTAGAATGTTGTGATGATAATAGATAATAGTAATGCATCTTATCAATTACATATTTTTTGTCATTACTATCAACTATATGATAAAATATTTATATAAAGTAATCTGGGGTAAGAAGAGTAAAATAACTTTGTTTTTTCCAGGCTAAATCAGAAGAGATTGAAACCGTTGTGAGCACTGCCTTAGAATGTGGTTACAGGCATATTGACACAGCAGCAAATTATAATAATGAGGATGCGATCGGCAGAGCTTTAAAAAAATGGTTTGACAAAGGTGGTACTAGAGAAGAACTTTTTATCACGACAAAGGTAATGTATCATATTTGAGTTCAATAGATTGCTGTCGCAATTTACTATTTAATAATTACAATATTGCTCTTTCAAAAAAACAACCGTATTTAAAGAATCTTGTAAATGCTTTTATTTTAGTTACCCAATTTTGGTAATCGACCATCCGATGTAGAAAAGTTCATTAAATTGTCATTAAAGAAACTTGGATTGGATTACTTAGATATGTACCTTGTTCACATGCCCTTCGCATTTAAATTAGATGAAAATATGTGCGCTGCAGCAACGAACGAGGATGGAAGTTACATACTCGATTTTGATACAGATCCTGTCTCAGTATGGAAAGTATGGAATCAATTTTGTATAACGTATTACTATGATGTAAAAGAAATCTTTGAAAGAGCAAAATTATTTTGCAGGAGATGGAGAAGCAAGTTGAATCAGGACGCACTAGATCTATAGGTTTAAGCAACTTTAACGAAGAGCAGATTTCGACCATTTGGGAAAACGCACAAATTAAGCCAAGTAATTTACAGGTAAATCGTTGAGCGATATATAAATTTATCTGTTAAGTGCAGTTTAATCCTCATCGATAAGACATTATCGATATAACGATATTTAAAATTTTTAGGTAGAGTTACACGCGTACATGCAGCAGATACCAATTCGAGAATTATGCAAGAAGTACAATATCGTTGTAACAGGTTACAGTCCATTAGGTTCTCCAGCTGCAAAGACGCACTTTCAAGCAAAATATAACTACACTTCAAATGCATTTTCTGACTTGCTACATCACCCGATTATTCAAAAAATTGCTGCAGAGCATAAAAAAACGACAGCACAAGTTTTATTGCGTCATTTACTACAACTAGGTGTTGTAATTATCCCTAAGAGTTCGTCCCCAGAAAGAATCAAGTCAAATATCGATTTATTCGATTTTTCCTTAACAGAGGAAAACATGAAAGTCTTGAGTACCTTAGATAAAGGTACTAATGGACGAATTTTTAATTTCTTATTTTATAAAGGGTAAGTGTTAAAAAATATGTTCTATCTTGGTTATTATATTTCGTCACAAAAATGTATTTAGGACTATATTTTATAATTTATAAAAATTGTAAAATTCATATAAAATTTACTTACATTATTGTCTGTTTCAGAATTGAATATCATCCATTATATCCGTTTAAAAATGAACTTCCTTAATCATAAATTAACATACGTCATTAGTTTGTATAAAAATAGTTGAAAAAGAAATACATAACATACCAAACGAATACGATACGTTAAACGTATTATATAATTATACATCGGAGAAGTTTCTATTATTTTTCAATGCAATCTGTACAACATTTTACGTTGCAAACGATGCTGAAGTTCACCGCGGCGTATCATTGTATGTATAACTTTGTAAATAGCGCGTTCTGGAAATGACTGCTTGAGAAAATCTTTCACAATATTTTGTTCAGATACTTGATGTCCAATAGGAAATCTACTCTTCAATTGTTTTTCAATACGGGTCAATATTTCATGATCCTCTTCCGAGGTAAATCCTTCTGCTCCTGATGACAGATCGCAATATACACGTTATAAAACTTTGTACTTGTAAAGTATTTTCTTTGGGTCAGGGCATCCATCTAATTGAAACCACATTTCAGTACGTTGTTGTAATGGGATGTTTTCTAAATAGTCAGAAAATTCATTCTCCAAGAAATTTAGAAAACGGTCCCCATTTAATCTTGCAGGTAAAAAAAACATTTTTTTTCGATTTCTCTGAAACGGAGCAAAAACGAGCATATGTCTATAGGACTTTTTTTCTTAGTTTTTTACTCCTCTACACGCTCCCGAAGTTTTGCGATTTAATTTGGAAACACCCTGTATACCAAATATAATATATTCTATATTTATCAATTTGTAGCTTACCTGCTAATGAACCAGACATTGCAGCTTCCAATGTAGATACATGAAAGAGCCTTAAAGCTTCGTTAATATGGAGTTCAGTAGCAAAAGGTTGTAACTGCATTTTAGCCAAGGCTTCGGAAATTCGTATAATAGCTTCAAGCTGCCGGACTGTTATAGGTATCGATAATCTTTTTTCAGCATCTTTCTCATGTTCTCTTGTACCAGCTCGCATCATAACATAACGATTTTTTAATTTGTCCCCTGCCTCTGAACTGAGTCTTGGACCACAACGTCTGTTAAAAAAAAATAGAGGGAAACATGTACTACAAGATGTTACACATTATATGTGATAAGATACGGCAAACTTACGTTCTACAATAGTTTATATACTTTTTGAGAATGTGTACAGGAATTTCTCCCTCTACCGATTGTTCTGTGATCTGGCCAGCATTACAGTGAATGTTCATAACGTGTTTAGCTAATGTTATATCCCTGTTGTGTTCATGCTCATCTTTAACAATAAATATCATATCGAAACGTGACAATATTGTCGGCATAAAATCTATATTCTCTTCTCCTTTTATATCATCCCAGCGGCCGAAGACTGAATTCGCTGCTGCTAACACAGAACATCGTGTATTCAAAGTTGTCGTTATTCCTGCTTTTGCTATAGAGATCGTTTGTTGTTCCATAGCTTCATGTATCGCCACTCTATCATCCTCCTTCATTTTGTCAAACTCATCTATGCAAACAACTCCACCATCCGCAAGAACCATCGCGCCACCTTCCATGACGAAATTTCTCTAAAAATAGTGATAGTTGCCGTCGTATAAATGAAAAATATTTACATTAAAATAAATTTATGTAGTTAAATTATAAAAATTGCAAATATAAAAAATATTTAACAAAAGAATGTAACTTACAGTTACTGGATCTCTCGATACAGACGCTGTCAAACCGGCTGCGGAACTACCTTTTCCCGATGTATAAACAGCTATGGGAGCAACTTTTTCTACAAATTTCAACAACTGCGACTTAGCGGTACCCGGATCACCCAGCATTAAAATATTAATATCGCCTCTCCTACACAAACCATCTGGCATTAGTTTTCTCGAACCGCCAAACAATAAACACGCGATGGCTTTCTTGATATCTACTACACCAAAAATACTAGGAGCTATGCTCTTCGCGATTCTCTCGTACAAATTAGGATCTGCTGCTAAACGGGTGAAAAGATCTTCCTCTTCAGACGTAACAGGCGGCTGAGTTCCTGCATAGAAAATACAGAAAAAAAGAAATTAATGCAAATCACTAATTGATACTTTAATTGTTTCATTTTTGTATTATTATTACGCCAATACCTATGTTGGTATTTTCTCCATCCACAGAGATACCAAGAACTCGAATATATGGAGCTCGAACGCCTACTAACGCCTTTTCCTTGCCTGTACCTTTGCCACCTGTCTTAGATACTTTCTTAATAGAATATATCCCAAGAATTAGAACTCTATTACCAGGTACAACTCTGTCGCATAAATATCTATCGCAATATAACTGCAAATGCCTGGGCATTTCACCCTGCGGTATATGATCCGGCAACTCCTGAAGCTTCAACACTTGAAAGTCTACGCAGTGGCATTTATCCGGCATTATAAAGAAAGGATCCAAGGGACACTTTGGTCCTACACCGGCTTGTTCTCTAATAACAAACAAAAATTGTTTGTGCGATACATTGTAAAGTGAGTAATAAAGTACTTTTGAAAGGAGACTCACGTGGAGCATTTTCTGGGTAGCGTGTATCCTTCTAGACCAGGTTTGATAGGAATATTGACTTGAGTGACCTTGCAAGAACGACACTGTATTGCAATCTTTGTCGCCTTTGATCTAATGCCGGACGCAGAAACGATTATACCAGGAATTTTGACGAGCTTTGAAACAATATCTGGCTGCAACAATGAAGCAGTTATATTAAAATCAGTTTTGAATTATACAGAATGTTTCGCGAGGAAACCAACAAACTACAGAGAATGTATCAATAAATAAAAGAAGGGCAACGAGCCAATTATACTATGAGATATTTAATAATCATATATATACAAACATTTTGACACTGATCAGGTCATTTTCAATGTAAAACAACAAACACTTACATAAATTGTATAATATTATGAATACAACCAAACTTTTTACTGGACATTATAATTTGACTGAATTTTCCGATAATTTATGTAAGAGTGTTTGTTTTACATTGAAAATGACCTGATCAGTGTCAAAATGTTTGTATATATATGATTATTAAATATCTCATAGTATAATTGGCTCGTTGCCCTTCTTTTATTTATTGATTTATTGTAATTGAGCCACATTAACAATTACAGAGAATGTATTCTTGAGTTTGTTCTAAGCAAAAATGTCCATATACACTATAGGCTTTAGGTCAATTCATATCAATTATCAAGAAACAGACAATTTTATTAATATTGTAACAGACAAAAAATATAAACATTTATAATTTTTATATGACCATTATTCTTTTAGGTTGGATTGTTCAACTGTTACTCTTGTCCTTTCTCTTTTATTCTTTCTCTTATCTATTAGGTAAATATCACATAGTTTATTCGAAGGTGGAACAATTGGTTCCTAATTATATTAATTATTCAAAATGTCTATCTTTTCTGTTTGCAAACATGATGCTGTTTGTTTTTTTATAAATTGTTAATTTGATTAATTTCAGTGCAAATGTTTGTATTTGGTCTATGAACTCAATTATTCTGTTAAGTAACTGCTGAGGAATTTATTGTCAATATATATGTCACAGCCAAAATGTTAATTTAGTAAATGTATGTATACTTACTGTAGTCTATGTAGTCAATGAATACATTTACATACAAGACTTCAAACTCTACAAAAAGAAGTTGAAAGATACTAAGTTGGTTAATTAATAAATTTGTATTACTGATAACTAAAGCTCTTTAAAGTTCGATAATCAAGTTGAATATCTGTAGTGTATATGAATTATCTTGCTTAGAATGAACTCTAGAATATATTCTGTCAGTTTCATCATGGAACACTCTGTATTTATTCTAAGGATTCAAGATTTCTTTATAAATTTATTTGTCACCCTGTAAATTGATGACAGTGAAACTTTATGCAAGTTTGTGAACTTTATTAATCCTATACATATCATGAGAATTATGGTATCACCTTCATTCCCCTCAGGGAACTTGGATGAGCATCCGAACATAACAAGACCTGAATGTCTTCCATCTTTTCCTCGCCTTCAGGTCGAGGTGCCGTTAGCTCGTCAGCAACATCTTTCGCAGCTTCCTCTAAAACGGATAAGTACTCTGTTGGAAGCTTTTGGATCTTCTCCGCGAGAGACTCGTCGAAAGCTGCTAAATCCTCCAGATTGATCTCCATCCAATATTGACCGAGATTGTAATTGCGCTTTAAAGTGTCCCTGAAGAAAATTAAACGATACTGAAACGTCAAATGGAACTGTAGATGAAAAAAAGATCTTATCTTTCTTCATTACCGATATTTATAGTTGAAGTTACCCTCGTGAAACTGTCGGATGAACTCTTTGAATTTCTTTTTCGAATGTTGAAGATTCACGCGATTCTCTTGAACTTCGTCCACCGCGAAATTGTCAGAAAAAAATACTCCTGGATCATCGAAGCCCTCCATTTCGCGCGAGCTACTTATTTACCAGCGCAATACCAGCACCAGCCACTTATTTAAAACAATTTAAGAGGCCTAATCAGGCCTAATACATGCAAACGAAAGTAAATCAACAAGAATGTCACGCCGTCGAAATCAGTTTCAGCGGGAAACTTTCGAGGTGTTTTAAAAGCCGATACACACTGACTTTAAGACAGCGTTTCATGAATATGATCATTTCAGAAACACAGACAGGGGATTGGTTGTTGGATAATTATCAAGGCTGCTTTCCTTTTAGGAGACACAGGGAGTTTTCCAACAAGCGACACTGTACGACACAGTGATCACCTCATCCTTGTTTAACATTGATGAACAATAAGGATGCAACGATTCACCGTATCACACGTCCTTGCTTTCCAGCATGGACACAGTCAGACATTGGGTGCGTTCAGCAGACTCAACAGTTTTGCAACCGTTTTATGATTGTCTGCTGAGATAGGACCATTCTTCTAGATCTAAAAGTATGATCCAATCAGCGCGAAGGAAACTTCCAACAGTTGCAAAACAAACGTTCTGCTGAACGCAGCCAATGGGCTCATTCAGCGGACTCAACAGTTGAGTGAGCGCTCGCTGTTATTGGTGTATTCTTTTAGATCATCCAATCATA